GCAAGAAGCTTGAACAACCTTTGTAGGTACCAGACACTCTAAGCAGCACGTTTCAAAGAAGAGCTCTTTTAAACCTCAAAACCACCCACTGGGAGAGGCACGAACATTGCCTCCATTTTGCAAATGCAGACACTGAGATGCAGTGAAATCAACTAACTCATCCAGGACTGGACGGCTAGTCGTGGCCAGACTCAGATCGAACACTAGAAGTCTGATGCAGGTATGGAGGAGACTAGACTTGAACTAGATCCTCAAAGGGAGGGAGGCCTTGGGGAAGAAGTGGGATGTGGCTAGAGTGTTTCGGGAAGAGAACAGTGGGGATAAAGGCCCAGGAGTAGGAATAAAGAGACTCCCACCCCCGGTCCTGAGAAAAGACACCCAGTTCGACATGTTGGGGTAAAGTCAGGCTCTGAACGGGCTGGACAATTGATACCCGGGCATCTTCTTACTAATCTCCACACAAACTGAAAGTTTCAAGACAGTGAAACAGGTCAGGCACCCTCTAACATGCAGAAGACTTCAGTCTCAGTTCTTCGCTACGTGTTCTTTGATAGAAAGCGTTTAGAGTTGACATAATTTAGAGAAACATTTTGATTGTCCTTTTTTAAATCAAAGTGTTAAAAAGTAAAATTAGTGACGAGCCAGACATTCCCTTTCCCACTCTCCAAATCCAAGCTAGGTTACACACATCTGTCCCCTGCAAGGAAAGCTGTACGGTACGCTTTTCCTGACCGTAAAGCTAGTTCAAACTTTTTAAATCTCAAAGCTTCATCATAAAATACTTAAGCCACTGGCACGAAGAAGGAGGGGAAAGGGTCATTAAAAACCCATCTGAGTGCTTTCTGAATGGTGTTCCACGGTTGCTTGTAGATAAAACTTGCAAAATACAGAAGATCAGAAACGTCTACAATGCGGGTTTTTCTGCTTCATTTATACCCTCTAGAATCACACGTTCACACTTTTTCCAGGAAAAAGACAAAGCAATTTTCAGGCTACTATCTATCACAGTACACAGCCCAAAGGTGTTCTTACCTCACAGCCGCTGAGATCAAGAGAGACCCCCTTCAAGTTATGATTACAAGCCAGGCCCAATAACAGCGCTCTGAGGGGAGGAAACACACGTGCATTAGATAAAAATTTCACACGTTGCACTGAAAATTTCTAAGTACACCGGATAAAGCCCAGACAAAGAGGGACGCCTTTTCTAAATCATAGGTCAAGTACCATCTCACTTTTTAACATGCCAACTGCATTTCTGCCGACCAACAGTGGTGACAAAAATGACATGGCAACATTCTTCTGTTTGACACAGAGCAGGTCCATCACAGATGTAAAACCCGACAGGACTGCTATTCCTATGCAAATAAGCCAGCAGGGTCCCTAACTGCACACTGAAATTAAACTGTGTTCATTACAGTTAAATTCCCACCTGCATCTGCTTGAGCACACCTTTAATAATGTTTAGAACATTATTAGGCAATTGTTATTTGAGTAGCAAAGTAAAGCTAGTTTTCCCTACTGAGTATGTAACTGAGGAAGGCAGGCTCCAGAAGATTCCAGGATGGGAAATTATATCTAGATGAGTTTACTACAGGACTGATAGCGGTGGGATGGGTGAGGGTGTAACAACACGAGAGATGAGACTCTAGTCTGGAGTTTGAGGATGGGATCCCGCCTGTCTATCCAATTACCGGCTGGTCCCAGGATCAACCCCATCACTGCTCTGCAAAGGAATTTTCTTATCTGCATATTAAGGAGACTGGGCTACTCAGACGGATCTCATCTCTAAGAATACGAATCGATTTCACTTTCACAAGTCAGTTCTATGAAGTTCAACATCACTGAAGAGGCTTGAAACAAAAATTTCACAGGTGCACCCACATCCATTACATTCCACCAAAAGGACCAAAGACCCTCAACTAGATGCTGTGAGGAGAGCATGAGAGGATTTGAGCTCAAGCAAAAGACATAAATATATGTGCAAATAACCGTAATACAAGGCAGACAATCGTAAATACAAGAGAGCAGAAGGAAGACACCTGTCACCTGGGGGTGGGATGACCTGTTCTCAACGTTCCCAGGAAAAGCACCTCTGCCCGGCATTCTCCAAAAACCTCCCAGGGTAAGGGGGAGGTGGGAAGGTAGGGGATTACTTCATGCCAAAGTCTCGGAGATTCTCCTTTTCCAGTGAGTCTCTGGCCTCATCCACGGAGAGAGAACTCCTGAGCTGGGCAGAGCACAAGAGCGTGGCTGCTTCTACTACAAAACCCTCCCTGTCAGCAAGGAGGCCGCAGGGAAGGGCGTTTCTCTTCCTTCCTTTAATCCAGTTCCAAAGGTTGGGCATATCTCACCTGTGTGCAAGGCTCTGTTCAATTACGTATTAAAGCGTTGCTCTTCTTAAAAAAAGTGCCTTTTCACCCTTTCTTTCTTGGGGGCAGTGTTGAGCCACTGAAAGCTCTTGGAACTGAGAACCAAAAGGCCAGTCAGTCCCCAGGTCCCTAACTCTCTTACTGACCACGGAGTGGGGGTGGGCTTAAGCACTTCATCTTTTCTCTCTGGGTCTCTAGCTCTCATCCAAAAAATGACAGTTAGGACAGTACCAAAGAAGTCCCTTGATTTGTAAGTTTTAAGTTTCTAGGATTTAGCTACAGATTTTAACATTGTATTTTTATAATGCTTAGACAGAGGAAAAATTCTTCTTACTTTTCTGATGTGTAGATTAAGGCCAAGGAAATAAATAGGCATCCTTTCAGATACCTAACTGTAGAAGGTCAGTGATTAAGAGGTAATGACTCATGAGACAAGGAAATAGAAATCACCCATAGGAAATGCCCCTAGTAAAACAAAACAAAACAAAACAAAACAGAACAGAACAACAAAGCATCAAAGGCACAGGGGGGAAACTTTATCACAAGGTGCGTTGTTTCTTTTAACCTACTGTAAACTGCCTTGGCAATCTGACCCTTAATCATTAGTGCCAAACTGCTTAAGAGAAGAATTTGCATTTCATTTCCCCAGCTCTGGATATACAATGCTAGTTTTAATTTTGGAGTAGCACAGCCATCCATTTTAAAAGCTTTATTAAAAACACTTGGCCAGGGCTATGGGGTCTGGGAGAAGGGGAACGACGTGGCAGGGAGGGAGGCGGGCACAGGGAAGAGGAGGTGAAAGAGTAAGAATGAGCAGTAAATGTGGGCTCGCACCTCACTCTGAGTGACGCTGGAGCCGGCAGCATCCTTGGGACACGCAAGAACAACACTGTTCTGGTAATTTTAGGAAACACTAAGGAACAGTGTCACCATGTTCATTAAAACCCCTGGAACTACTTTAACACAGATAGAAAAGAGCCTCCAAGGAAAAACACAACTGAAATAACCAATTCTGTTCTTTGTGTTGCTTTTGAAGAACCCAAATTAAGTGGGGGACTTCTGTAAAATACTTAGTGTTACTCTCAAAAGAAGTTGCATTTCGTTAGCTTATTCTCTTACAGCTACTGATCCTCAACTCTCTAAAATTGAGGGTCTCCCTCTGGCCCTCTGGGTGCATTGGGATGCGACGTGGGTTTAGGAACAAGGCTGAGCCGGTGTCCCCTGCTGACAGAGGTGGAGGCTGCAGTGCACCTCCCAGAGTCCCCGTGGCCATCAGTCCCCTTTTGGAACGGTCTCAGCTGAAGAAAAATGCCTCGTCCAAGGTTACATCAGCTTTCAGGGGCAGCCTGTATCCAAGGTCTGGTCAACACAGGGATACAAAGGCCCAGCCTCCTGCCCCCAACTCAGGGCAGCTCTGTGAAGGGCCACTCCAGCTACCAAGCTCCCATTGGGTCCACTGACCCCTTCACCATCATGGCCCCAGTTCAACTTCCCCTCTGTCCTACCCTGCTGTCCTCCTGCCTCCCACTCCGGAGGCAGGATTCCAAGAGCCCTTCCTCATAAGTGTCCCACGTGCTAAGCTCCATCTCCAAGTTGGCTTCCCAGAAAATCCAACCTGCGACAGGGACTTTTGACAAATTACTTATCTTTGAGCTTCCATTTCCTCAGCCATAAAACAGGGACAATGACACCTTCCCGCTGCTGTTGTCAACACTGCGGGCGACGGTTTGTGCATTAGCACCCGGTTCTGCATCTCACTCAGGGCAGCGCTTTCCCAGTCCCGTCCGGCCCTCACCCCCTCACAGGTAAACCCAAGCACCTCTGTTTGTTATATCTTTTCACATTACGGAATCACATCAAATGCACACATGGAACTCTGTTTACAGAATCTTCAGCCACGAAGCTTTTTTCCTCACATTAAAATTTTTACTGAGTAACCACAGACCTGAAGAGACTATACGCATACCTCTTCTTCTTACACTTCCCAGATATTGCTTTTTTTTTTAAACAAACTGAAGGTTTGTGGCCTTCTTGGATCAAGCAAGTCTGTTTTTTTTTTTTTTGAGTCTAGTCAGTTTACAATGTTGTGTCAATTTCTGGTGTACAGCACGATGCTTCAGTCATGAAGCATGATACATGAACATACATGTATCAGCGAGCGAGTCTTTTGATGCCATTTTTTCAACAGCATTTGCTCACTTCATGTCTCCAAGTCATATGTGGGTAATTCTCGCAATATTTCAAATCCTCCACCAGCAAAAAAGATCAAGACTTGCTGAAGGCTCAGCTGATGGCTAACTTACTTTTGTTTTAGCAATAAAGTGTTTTTCATTTAAGATATATACATTTTTCTGGACATAATGCTATTGCACACTTAATAAACTACACTGCAGTGTATACCTAACTTTGATATGCACCGGGAAACCAAAAATTTTGTGTGACTTGCTTTATTACAATATTCACTTTATTGTAGTGGTCTGGAACCAAACGGGGAAACTCTCTGAGGTCTGCCTGTACTGATTTAACATTATCAAACAGTCACATAAATTACAACAGGTCACAAGATTTAACACCAACAAAATAACTTTTAAGTATAAATATTTACAAGTCTGTATCTATAATAAAGTACAGTAAATCCAACATTGTGGTGAGCATTACTCTATAAAATCAACTGCACTAAATGAATGAGGAACTACACTGTATTTTACAGGAATCCACAGTATTCAAAGTCTTAGAATACCACGTACCTATCACTAAAACTACTTTGAATATTCTAATCTCCCGCTGATACACTATGAGGGCAAAGATCAAGTCTGGTTTTGCTTTCTCACTGCACTCCTGGTATCCAGCCCATTGTAAATGCTCAATGAGTACCAGCTGAATGAATGAATAAGTAAATGAGTGTGGTTAAATTATAACGGATCCCCTTCAGAATACTGATTCTGATAGCTTTATTAATGTCCATACAAACTATGTGCAGCTGTTACATTTAGAGATCTCTAATATACAGATTCAGTGTTGTTGTTTTTTAAAAGGCTTGTTATAACATCAAGTTTTTTTGTTTGTTCGTTTTTAGCACTTAGCTGAATCCATATTCTTAAAGGCATCGATGGTTTTAGTGATATGGTACTTTGTGGAATACTGTAATCAAGAATTTCACACCTCTCAAAAAGAAAAAAGAAAAGGCAATTTACAAATTAGATGATTAATTCTCCAGTAAAACGAATAGCAGACATTGATTTTAACATTTCATACAAATTACAAGGGAAAAATTAAAGCTGATTTACATTTAATGTCAGCTGGGGAAAGAGAAATCTGCATACATTTGAACATACCTGACAATGTACATATTCATAACTACTCGAAAATGAGTTTTTGACTCAGAGAGAATTAGATTCTATAGCCCTTTTGATTACTTCTGACAATGGTGAACAGAAATTCCAGGATAACAAATTATTCTAAGAAGTTCAGCTTTGTGGGGGAAGGCAGAGCTCAGTGGTAGATAGAGCATGTGCTTAGCATGCATGAGGTCCTGGGTTCATCCCCTAGTACAATCAATCAATCAATAAACCTAATCCCCTCCCAAAATTTTTTTTAATTTAAAAAAATTAAAAGCTCAACCTCACCACTATACCTACACTGGGGATCTTAACTTGCAACATAAGTTGGCTGCCAAGTAAAAATACCAAACAGATAGATATCTAGGTAATCCAGAAACCAAAGCACCGAAAAAAAATGGTTCTAGTGCACACACACGTGTGTACAGAGTTTGATTAACACTGCTAATAGAAATATTTAGAACTAATAGATTTTAAAACAAACACACACAAGTTCATACCCAAAAAGAACTAAACAGAGGTCAATAGAAACGCAATGGTACCTGGGAGCACAACTTTCATAGATCAATGAGCACTGCCAAGGTCACAAACCAAGAAAGATTATTTTTTCATAGAAGATGCAATAATACCAATAGTGCACAATGTACTCAAAAAGAATCTGATTTCTTTTTGTGTCCCAAAGTAAAAAGGCATTTTCATCTGCCTTGTCTGTTTTAGAATTGTATGCCTTTTCCCCTTCCCCAAAACACATTCATAACAACAAACTGAACTTTAAAAGCACTGGCGAAAACGAATTAACCACTCACTTTAAGGGCTCGGGAGACAGTTTTGTGCCTGAAAGGTTGATGTGCATCAGAGCCAGAGAACTACTAAAAAACTGCTTGAAAGATGGGGGTACTTCTTTTCCTTTCCTGAAAAATAAAACAGGAGAGGCATACTGGCAGTTAAACCTCCATTTCAGCATCCCACTTCCAAACTGTCAAAATCATTCATTGCTTATTCAGACCCTGTGAAATAATCCATCAATCGGTTATATCTTCAGCAGAAATTTACAGGTAAAAAGAAGATGTCTGAGTTAAATAAACAAATTCAATATACTTAAAGGAATGATGTAAGAGAAGTGAAGAAATCTCATGAAGTCCTTTAAACATTTTATTCCTATTCTTGTAGCCAAGAAATTTGCTTTCTACCTCCTGATCTTCAGGAAACTCCATGTGTAGATTTTTAAGAAATAAGAAATTAAAGACAATATACCTTTCTCACCAATTTAAAGAGCCATCCCGCTGGGTGGCATTGGATTGCTGAGGGTGGCCTTCTGCATTGAGCAATATTTCTAGGTGTAGCATGTCTCAGATGCAACAAGATTGTGACCTGCTGTCAAGTCTGACTGGTATGAAATCTGGATGACAAATATCCTGTTCAGCTCTTGTATCCAAAGCACACATCTAATTATTTCAGGCCAAATATTAGAATGCAGACAAAACTTCAAAAGGAAATGGCTATAACCTCCAAATATGTCCTTTGCTATTGCAGTGGGAAGTAAGTGGATCAAATCACACACTCTACAAGAAGGCAGAGTCAGCACCACTCTACAGGGGTTTAAGGAAAACAAGATTCCTGGGTCAAAACTAGAATACGAATGCTTTGTTTGTTTTATTCTAACAGGCAGAACTGTTGGGAGTAATTAAAGTACTTAGCCTGATGTATAGTAAACACTCATTTAATACAGTTATTCATAGTCTGTGGAGGGAGCCACAGAATCTCAGGGCAGAGGCTACCCAAGCCATCTAGCCCACGCACAGAATATTCAACAATATTTTACGTACAGAGGTCTAGGCAACCTGTCAGTATTTTTAAAATGAGACAATTTCAGGCTATTTGAGAAGAAACAGCTCAGCAACCAGAATCTCTATTTGAGAGGATGAAAAATAAATTTAAGAGGAAAGAGAATTCTGGTAGAATATATATTAGATGTTTCAAACAACCCTGGTTCCATATAGTAGAATGATATCTGCTTGTATCCGCCTGTTCATTTTCTGATGAGCAAATGTGGTTAAATTATTCTTTGAATATAGTTTTCTTCCTGCTACTTTGTCTTGGTGCCCAGCGTTCCAATGTTCCCCGGTAATTCACCGCCCCTTTCCGAGGGAGGGTGATACTTCATCTCACCGACAGCAGGCCTGGCCACACAAGTCCATTTAGCCAACAGGCTGTGAGTAGAAACGATGTTCGTGACTTTCAGAGAGAAGTCTGACCTACCAGCATGTGCGCTACCCTGATTCTTTCTCCTCTGCTATGCGACTGTCAACATTCTAGAGATTGCTCTGCCTCCCAGAATGAAGCTGATGTGGCCAGCCCATAAGCGACATGTCACAAAATCTTGTTGCTGGAAGCTATGGAGAGGGTGGTGAGTTGGGGGGATCATTTGTTACTGGAACAACATGACCTCTCCTAACTGCTACACTTAGAAATGGTCTGTGAACAAAAGTATGAATAGCCTGGCTAACAATCCACAGCTCAGTGTAAATGTAGCAGTTTTGACATAATTACGAAGGGCTTTCTATGATTATATCTAGGTAAGGTCCTGGGTATTGAACAGTTTAATCACAATCTTCCATTTGGAAGACAAGGCAATTTGTTAGCACAATTCTGCTCCGTAAGTTTAATAGCTCAACTGAAGATCAGTCATAACAGAATTCACAGTATTACGAACTCAAAAGAGCTAATGAGATAAAAATCCACATAGTCTATGATATCATTTCTAACCCAGTTCCTTAGTCAATTCTAGCTCCACCAAAGCACGGCTTCATAAGCTACCTTCCAGTACATGAACTGACTGGTGGTCAACGTAATACCCTCTAGGGCCTTCCAAATAAAGTATCTTAGAAAACACTCAATTTCTCCCACCACTGTATCTCCTACATTAGGCACTCTCTGGTCAAATCCTATTGAGGTATCTGTAGCATATTTTTGCTACTGTAAAGATTTACATCACGAGTACTTTAAAATATAGAATAACTCACTTATGAGGCATAATTGTAGAATAAAGCCTGCTGAAATCTGAATTTTCCAAACAAGTGACTCTTACTCTCTGAATATGTAAAGCTTTTAAAAAGTTAGCCAATTAAAAAAAGGAGATGTTTATAATATTAAACAATCCTCCATGTTATTAAAGAGCATATAATGACTAAAACATCGTTTATGACTTGCAGTAATAATTACGAATGCTAAGGGTTGAGCATTAGATGGTCCCCGAACTCCACACTTACACAACCCACGTCCTTCTCATAATTCTTCTGCATTCTCCCATTCTACATTGCTGCGTGTGTGTGAATACTTGTTGCTTTTAATCTACTGCCTGACTTCACAAACAATTCTAAATCAGGAAGGTAGGAGTGAGGTACTTAGGCTGGTCCTCCACTTCTACAAATTAAAACGCGTCAGCTTTGGGATGACTGCTACTCTGTTTCCCGGAGACAGTTGATACTTACTTCAAAGGGCTTTACTGAGAAACACCTATAGACCCCTCTAGAAGGGTTTTGAAAGATATTAAGAGAATGCCTGTCCACGTAGGAGGAATAGCACATTACTATGTAATTCATACAGGTAGGCTGGAGTTATTGATGTGAACAATGACCTGCAATGAAAAAAGATAAAACAAAAACTTGAACTTTCAAGACCTAATATTCATAGATAATGGTTTAACACCATCTCCTTCTTCCACGCACAACGTTCACCCTTTATCGCCCTGTTTTCATCTCACTACAAATTTCTCTGACAGAAAGATACTCCGAGACGAGAGCCAGAATGGATGCATACCGGTGAGAAAAGACAGTTCTGGAGAGATTGAGCACAGCTAAGTACTGAAGGCATCCACGGAGGAGGGCTCGACAGACCTGAGAAAGAAACGAGGCACTCTTATTTTCAAATATTTCTAGGACCAAGGGAAAATTTTATGGGAGAGAAAGTCCCTTGTTTGCCATCTAAATATCTGTTCCGAGACCACCCCCCAAAGCAATACAAAAAAAATATTACCATGTCCAGGGAACATTCTGTATTAGATAAATCCAGGTGAGCAATGGCATTTGGCTGGGCCAAAAAACTGTACATGGACTTGAAATAAAAAACAAAAACCAAACATATTAGGATCCAGAAACACACATGCACACATGCGCCTCTGTGTGCACACGATGCAGTTAATATTTTAAAATAAAGTTGCCTATATCCTCCCAGGATCATTCTCTGCTCTTCCCAAGGGGATTAGCAGAATTTCCTGTCATTCCATTCCCTTCCCTGAGAGCAAAACTCCAAAGATTATTTTAAATTATGTTTAAGTTAAAAAGAGGCCAAATGGAGTCTTGGCTATTAGATCCCCTTTTTGTTAACATATGACTTGGTTTTCCTGATTAGCTCCATTTTCATTATACAATTTTGGGACGGTGCTAATTAATTTTAACTGCTAAGACTGAAATCCTACCTGAATTGCAGTCACCCTATCAAAATGCCAATCACTTCTGAAACTGCTCAAGGAGCCACTAATTTGAATTTGAACCACAGGATGGTGGTCTCAGGCTATATTCTCTTCAGTGCAACAAAATCATTTTTCTAGCCTTACTTTCAAAATCTAACAAGAAAGGCAATACTACTAGGGTTTTGTTTTGTTCTGATTCTTTTTTTGGGGGGGGTGTTAATTGGGTTTATTTTATTTATTTACTTATGTATTTTTTTAATGGAGGTACTAGGGGTTGAACCCAGGACCTCATGCATGCTAAACACACACTCTACCACTGAGCTATACCCTCCTCACTCCTAGATTTTTTTACATCTCACTTATAGTAAGACACTTGTTTCCAGGGGTTCTCAATGCCTCAACTACCCCTCATGCCCCTGCAAGCTATCAAAACAATAAAATTAATAACTCTGTTGTTCTTAAATTGTCCTGTGTGAGTAGCAACTGCCAGCATCCACCAGTAACAAACTAAGTCCAAGCTCCTGGCACAGGGCAAATAGCTAAATTCTGCTCTGCTTCACTGGATGCCATGAGATACTTGGAAAAACAAACCAGCTTACGCTGAGATGTCCTAGTCCTTAGCAAAGACTCCTAAGTGTAGCAGCTTTGCTATAGATGTTTGAGAAAGCTCCTCTTCAGCCAGGAATTCAAGAGTTAAAGATGAGTCTGGAAATACTTTAGAACAACTAGACACACAGAACGTACTATATTCTGAAAAGTTCTGATTCAGAAAAATAATTTTGTTCTCACTTAGTGAAAATCGGATTCTGTCTTTGCCTGGCACTGTGATTTTATTCTGGCCACCAGCAGGGGGAGCTCTAATCACCCTTGAGCGGTGACCAGGCCCTACAGTCAACACTTCTCCAGCGGGCCCTGCTAGGCTCCTCTCCCAGAAGGCACGGGGCTGAGTACGCCCCTCCCTGCACCTGCTGAAGGACTCCTGGAACCTCAGCCCGTCCGGGGCTGGAAGCCCAGCCTCATCATTCCCCTTCCCCTTCCCCTTCCCCAGGGACAAGCTGGGACAAGACTCCTGGCCGGCTACTTTGCTGTCTTGGGTACCATTTAAGGCCCCTCTTTCAGTGGCCTTATAATTAAATCTTCAGGCTCTTATATCCTTCTCCCTATTCTGTCACTGTAACGTTTTGGTGGTTTCTCATCGGACTCCTTGTTTCATATTGGGAAGGAGCAGATTTATGAGTCATCAGTGAAGGTGACAGCCACCACTGGACAACGCATTGAAAAAGTCATGGCACAGCAGGAAGCAAGTATTATGTAAACGAGTTCAAGTGTAAGGGCTGTGGCAACATTCCCTGTCTTACAAGGAAAGTAAAACCAGAAGAGAAATGAGAATAAATTTCAGTGTGTTTTTCAGTTCCATGAAGCAACAGAATGTAAATGACAGTCTTCTAAAGGAATTCATGTGCTGTAGGCCCTGCTGGTAAGGAAGTATTTCTTCTAAATTCTACCCTGGTGACCAGAGGGGACCATTCATCCCATGTGGTGATGAGATCATACCTTAACTCACTCTATCAGTAAGCCAAACATTTTTATTACTGATTCAGCTGCATGAAGAATCTTGTTATAATTGAAGGGAGACTGCTTGCCTTCACCCTCAAACCTTCAAGACTGGCCCCAGCTGATTCCTAACCCTCCCCTCTCTCTATTGTATTCATGGAATATAGGACTAAAGTGCATCCCAATATCCCCTTTCAATCACAAGCTATTTAAAAAAAAAAAAGCTACCAGTCTTCCTACAATATTATTCCATGAGGAAATAATTCACTTTATGTTTCCAATCTTTCTTATCAGGCAAATTTAACAGGTACAATACTATTTTGAAATGAAAACAAAATATTCCTTCAGAAAAAGTATTGTCAAAAAGAATTTAAACTTGAACAACCTTAAGTGAGGAAGAAAAAAAATCTATGTGACAGACTACATTTAACGAAGGAAGTCTCTAAAATACTTCATCATCTCATAAGTCAACGATTTTAAGGGGTCATGATGAGGGAGGTGTGGGAAAGTACATTACAAAGTCCTATTTAGAAATTAATCCAGGCTGATTAAGTCCAGCTTCTTTGAAGAAGGCAGTAAGGCAAAGAAAACCTACCGAGAGGTCATCTCCGCGAAGGATGTTCCCTGAGAGGTCCAGATGGGTAAGGGTGGTGGCGGTCAACGGGTTGGCACTGAGTGACTGAAAAAGGCTGTTCACCCCTGCAACATCGAGAACATCCAGGCTCAATTGCTACTCCAGGGAACAAAATCAGGTTTGTGAGTTTCTATGAATGGTCCAGCTACCCCACCAACTTGCAGGACTGAGGTTAACCGTAAGCACCACCCCCAAAAGGTCTTCTGACATCTGCTCGGGAAGAACAGGTGAGTCACAGACACAACCAACTCACTGAGTAGGAGAAAGAAATGGAATCAACTTCATTTTGCTCCACTTCTAAGGATGCAGCCAGAAAGGATTCCACTTTGAAGTCTTAGAATGATGCAAGCAATTGAACTGATCATTTTTATCCTCCTCTTAATCCTGCCAGGTGATTCTTGACTCAGTGTACAGTATTTAAATGACATAGATGTAAATTCAGATACTTAAGTCTATTGAAAGTACCTGGAAGGAATGTGCTCCTCTACTTACTGTATTACAGTCCAAGCCAGAATTTAGACTGAAATGGATTTTTACAAAGAGTGAAATAGATAAACAAGACTCTATTGTATAGCACAGGGAAATATACACAAGATCTTGTAGCTCACAGAGGAAAAAAATGTGACAATGAACATATGTATGTTCATGTATAACTGAAAAATTGTGGTCTACACTGGAATTTGACACATTGTAAAATGACTGTAACTCAATAATAAAAATGTTTAAAAAAAACAAAGAGTGAGAAAATCATCTGTGCACAATGGAAGAAGCAATCAAAGGGAAAAGTAATAATTAACACTCTAGACACTTTTTGTATACATAACACAAATGGCTCAAGTTCAAGTCAACTGAAGTAAACTGATAATATCACCTCAAAAAACAACAAATAAACACATGAGGAGGGTGAGATTGTTCTGTGAAAAGAGAGGTAAGCTCTTCAGGACGCTGTTAGTCTGGACCCCGTGGTGGGTAGACTTTTCATCAGGCCACTTCAGAATGGAAGCCCAGAGGAGGCTGGTCCCTCACTGGGATTCAAGAGGTCAGTACACACATCACTTATGGTTGTTCTTAACATGACAGAGATACGGGATTTTGCAAAGCTCTTCATGTCCATGGCTCTAAATTGTGTATTTTGGAAATACAGCTGTTTTAAATTGGGTATACTTTTATAAATCATTTTGTTTTTGTTTTTCAGTAAAATTCTTCTTGAAAATCCCAAACTATCTTAACCATCCTAAAGGGAAACAGGGTTTTTTTTTTTTTTTTTTTTTTGTCCCCACTTGGACAGAGCCTTGGGCAGGATAAGGGATGAGGGTCAGGCCAGAACCGGTCACGGCAGCAGGACCCAAGGAGGCACTCCAAGAAAAAAAGAAAACAGCTGAGGGTTTGAGGGTTCCGAGCACAGCCCTAAACTGGCGCAGTTCTCTGCTGCGAGTTCAGAATGTTTCAGGAGTGATACTGAAGGGGTTATTATCTCATCCTCCTCCTTCAGAGTTACAAAGAACCAACTCCAGTGTGTGTCTGGTGAAGGTTCCTGAGCTATTTCTCGAGGGTGAGCGTGCATTTGGGTTTGTAGAGAGAAGACAGAGGTGGAGAGGGAAGAATATTTTACTTCAGTACAAGGAAGAATTTTTTGGCTATCAATTTAACATTTATTAAATTGCTCATACCACGTTTACAAAATGCTGGGGCTGGGGAGGTATATATAAGTAAGACCCGTTCTTTGCCCTCAAAAAATTCAAAGACCATCAGGAAAGAAACTAAATACACTCCAGGATGAAAAGCGAATGTTATACAAGGAATATTTATTCATTGCAACCAATCTTTATTTAAAGCCCACTGTATATTAGGTATGGGCTTCTGAGACTTACCTAGATACTGTCTTACCCTCTAAAAGCCAGTCCAGGGGCAGACACAGAGAGCTAAACCATCACAGCCTAGGGAGTTCAGTACTTGTATCAAAGAGGTAGGAAACAAGAGCTTGGCAGTGAAGGAGGTGGAGAGTGGATTAATGACGTTAGATAAAAGGAACTTGGAATGGCCCACAGAAAAGGTCAATTTCTGGAGGTAACATCTATGATTGTTTAAATGACCAGTTTCCTTCAGTTTGTCCTGTTATTGGCTGTATCCATGTATTTTTGTAATGGAATAATTGAGTCCAAGACATATGGGAAACACCAGACTCTCATCAAGAAAATATTCAGTAAAGTTATCTCCTTAGTGAGGTATAACAAAACTCAATAAATAAATTCCAAAATTAGAAGGTGAATTTCGTCTTGAGAGCAAAACGCTCCATGGTTAAGTGTGGGCACTTGGCAGTTGGCCAACACGTGAAGAGAACTGGGAGGGAAGCATGTTATGCACTCAGCTTCATGCTACTGAAACAGAATGAAGGATTTCCTCCCCCATCTCTTGAGCCCTTATCCACACAAGGTCTGTGTTAACAAGCACACGAATAGCAGGAAATTACAAAAATATAGGATGGAAAAAAATCAGGGCTCTTACAACCAAAACTACACACAGATTTTCATGCTAGTCTCGATTCTGGCTGTCTAGTGATTTTGACCATTCTTCATATTTATTATTGGAGTGTTTACAGCTGGAAAAAGGTGGTACCAGATGGCCCCGCACTGACATAATCTGGCAACCAGCAGGACATTTACTAGAAATCCAGAAAACTATCACTTAGCTAACATCTGAGGAAGAGAAAGGGTATTTGGAGACAGTGTGGATGTCATGGAGAGATTAAAAAAAAAAATCTGTGTTGAATTATGGAGCCATGGATATAAATGTTTTCATAGAACTAAAATATAAATGTTAGTCAAATTCAGCAAAAGCTTAAAACTGCAATTTAATCTGAGTTATTCTGAATCTGCAAACCTTTCAGATCCATTGTGACAGTTTGCAAGAATACTAGAATCCTTTAAGAAATCAATTTTTTTTTAAAAAAGCAACATTTCAAGATATACATCTTAGAAAGGGTAACTTAAAATTCTTTGGGTCACATGTTATAAAACAATATTAATTCTCAAACACATTTTATTGCGGAGAACAGATAAAAGTGTTGATCTTTATTTGTGAAGGGTGTAGGGAATGCGGGCTGTCCTTACTCAGGAGGAAGCTGAGGAACCCAGCTTTGTCTGGGGAACCTCCCCACTCTCATCACACGAGGAGGGACAGGGACATCAGTGAATGGGGGGGGGGTGCTGAAGTACCTCAAAACCCAAATTTGCCCTCAGGAGGATCAATGATCATCATATCCCTCTATTTGTTTTATAGTAATGAACAAATAAATTTAAATAAATAATCTTTTTTTAAACTCTACCTTAAAAAAGACTTAGACCTGTGAAACACACGATAAATGACCAAAATTTTAATGTGTGGAGAATTCATATGAATAAAGAAAATAAACTAGCACTGTAAATAGAAGAGTAAGAAAGGAAGGGATCTAGCAGTTTCCTCCAAAAGAAATACAAATGACCAAGGAACAAGGTAGGAAAAGTTGCCTAAGCAGTAACTGAAGAAACTAAAATTAAAGTATCACAACCCTTGTTGCTGTGCTTGAAAAACAATTTAAAAAGAGAATATGATCCACTGATGGTGAGAGTGTAAAGACAATTGTACAAAATACATGGAGAACAACTTGACAATAAATATCAGAAGCAGCTTTTAAAAAATTGTGCCAACTCTGATCTAGCAATTCTACTCACAGGAATTTCTCCTAAGAAGAAACTTAACACATGACTGATAATTAGACACAGAAGTCACGTTAGCATTCTTTGCACTACTGAAGAATTTTAAATGATCCAAATATACAACAGATCATTTAAATAAATTAGGGAATATTTGCATATGCTGGACTATCACAAAGCCATTGAAAGTGATCATGTTTTTACTGACACAAAAGACCACAACTGTTACAGGGGTTAGGGGAAGGTTACGTGATAGTAAGCACACTATAAATGCACATATGCATTATGTAAATAAACTATGTACAGGCAGAAAACAGTATGGAAGGATGGGTACCAAACTGTCAACAGTGACAGCCTTGTGATGGTTTGGTACTAGCATTGCAAGTAATTTTTGCTTTCTTAATTATATTTTTCAGTGTCTTCTAAATCTTTACCATTAATATATAATACACTGATAATCTTCAGAAAATGGTTTTTGTAAAACCAACGTGCTGAAATATAACAGTAAAAACATAAA